TGCTTCGTGTTGTGTGCTAGCCACTCAACCAAGAATGCCTTGTTCTGCAACATGGTACGAAAGGGTGGATGTGCATCTACATTCAAGAGATTGCCGGTGAGGACGGCCTTGATGAGCTCGTCTGCTTTAGCTGAATGCTTGGTCAGCGAATCTGCCAGACAATCTTCACTTCGTACATGTGCAAGGTCGTGCATCTGTCCACTGTTGCTTTCCTTTCTCAACATCTGGATCAAATGCATTGTTTCTTTCTGTTCCGGTTGATGTGTTGTGGATGCTGTGGTGACAAGATTGTTCGCATCAGTGCGGATGTGTACATCTGCAATTTCGCCCGTTATGTCTGACCAGAGACCGCGAAGAAATAATGCTGAACCGTAACAACGCATTAGTCCATGCAACTCTGCAACAGTAGTGGACATGGTTGTGGCGGTGATCTTGTGCGTCTCATAGTCGACCAGTGAGCCTCTCGAGTTCGATGAGCCCTGGCGAAGATCTCTTTGTTCTGCAAGAAAAATAACATGCGCACGTTGGGATGACTTATCCTCGTTGTTGCGATAGGATGCATCTGGATAGCCAACCATGCGTGTCTTGCCACGAAGGGGCCGGAATCTCATGCTAAGCGGGATGCTTTTGATGGTTCTGACTGTCTTATTAATGGCGCGAACGTCCCCAATGGTTGGTGATGATTCCTTGGATGCACACCTTGAGAATTGGTAACCAATGTGGAATTGCGTTCGCGACTGTAAGCAGTTGATCTGACCTAGGACACTTCTGTATGCAGTATGCATTTGTGGAGTAGGAGGAGTGTCGTCCTTCAGGTGTTTGTCAAAAGTGATCTCCTGCAGTTCGTCGATGGCAACGTTCTGATGAACATTGATGTACCAACCGTGCTTGTCATCTTGCTTCCATTGGATGCGCTGTCCTACGAAGAGGCAATCATTTTTGTCCTCGGAACCAACCTGAAAAATCTTTCCGAAGTCGTCCCATGATTTCCTTCTCGAACACGTCATCCCCCGTCATAAGAAGATCATCTACATGAAGAGACAGTGCTCCATGAACTTGTCGATTCTTAGCATTGTTACCAGAAACAGGATCCATCAGGTAATCAACTGCTCCTTCTAGATCGAAAGTTGTGGATGATTTCTTTTCACTCACCAATGCGGGCTTCGGAAGCTGCTTGCCGTAGTACACGTATGTGCAACGGTCTGCCCGGGTTGGCACTAGTCCGTATGAACGAAGTGCCGAATCAAGGATGTTCCACCATCTGCGTGGTGCGTCATTCAGCCCATAGGCAGGCTTCTTCATGCGCGCTCCAATGTGTGGTGGATATCCCATTTCAGGAGGTATCTGACAAATGATGTCACGAGACTGGTCGTATGCTTCGCCTTGGAGAAATGCTGTCTTCAAATCCATGTGGAATATATTCCAGCCTTTATTTGAGGCTGCTTGGATTGCAAGGCGGAAACCACTCCTGGATGCAGCAGGACTGTCTGTCTGCTGATCATTCTTCTGCTTGTCTTGGAAGCCTCGGAGGACCCAGCGAGCCTTGGTCTTCAAGAAGTTACCATCCTTGTCTCGCTTCAGGGTTGGGGCCCAGCGACCGGTGACCCAGTTCCTGACCTGAATCTTGCGTGTATCGACTAAGTCGAACACTTCATTGTCAAGCCATGATTTGCACTCAAGCTGCTTGGCTTCAAGGAATTGCTTCTGATAAGCTCTTAATTCCGTGGCTGTAGCTTCCTTCCGCTTCTTGCCAATTGCCAATGAGTGCGGATGTGGATGAAGCCTTCAAAGATTCTTGCTTGGATGAGTGCAGAACTAAGAGTGCACGGTCATCGTCGGTCATGTTCTTGCATAGATGGTCAACATGATTCTGATCTGTGTATTTCTGATGAGAGAATCCGCATCGGGGAGATGGATTGAAGGTCCCTTTCACACGTCCAAGAAGGACAGGATTGCGTTCAATACCTCTCGGAACCGTAAAGGATCCGGTGTTCGCACAGATCTTCTGTTCGGCTGTCATGAGTGACCAGTGCGCTTCATCTAGAACGAGATCAGCTTGGTGATCATCGTAGGATCTGGTCCTCTGAGAGTCTTCTGAATCTTCGTCTTCCTGGTCAGTGTATCTCATGGTTCTTTCTGAACTTCCAGTGCCGGATGAGGTCGGAACATGAGGGATCAGTTCTTCCTCACTTTCATAGTGGACCGGCAAATTCGCTGGATTGTTCGGATTATAATTGGATGAAGATGCAGGATCATGTCTGGGAGAATGCTCAGGTGACTCATCATTGTCATCTGGCTTCTTCTTCTTCTTCCCCAGTCTTCTGCTTCTTTGATGGACTGCCGGTTGTTTCTTCTTGCGCAAGTGTTGGCAGTTCAAGATCTTCATCTCGTTCTTCTGCTTCGGGATTTGTAAGAATCGCAGGTGGTGAAGGTACCACGACAGTCGGAAGAATTGGCTGAGATGATTGCGACTGTGACGGCAAAGAGACATCACCCCCCAGTCGATTGAGTCCACTTGAGGATGAAATGGACTGTTTTTGCCGTTTAAGCGCTGCATCTCCTCCGCCAGGCTTGTCGTGTGGCGGGTGGAGGATCCACTGGACTGTCTGGCGACACACTGCGTGGTGCTGGCGGCATGGGATGATCAGGCTGATGTGGAGGATCCGGAGGAGGATCTGACATGTTCTCGTCTGGAGGTGTTGGAGGTCTTGGATCAGGCATGGGATGGTCCGGTTGATCAGGTGGCTGCTGCGTGTCAGGTTGCTGAGGTGCATCCGTTGGATCCAATGGATCCGTCTCGATGGGCATCGGCTTGATGGCCGGCGCATCGGTGAACGACTGATGAACGGATGAAAACATCACAGCATGCCAAGTCTTCGGATCATACTTCTCCCAATTGCATTTTGATGCAGGCAAGACCCAAATTCTATTCAGCTGATCAGGCTGCCAGAAGGATATGATTGCATCGTCCGGAGGTGACGTAATAGGCATATTGATGCCAATGGTGTGGACGTATGCAGTGCATGCATCATACTGAGTGGATGAGATGCACAGTTGTCTCAACTTCTTACAGCCGTTCCACATGTTCTGACATCGCCAGTCATTAGGATCTTGCTTGAAGATATCAATTTCAGTCCCAGGTGGGTACTGCTTCATCGTCTTCTGGAATTTCTGAACTAGCGGATCTTGGATGACTAATGGTTGAACGTCCTTGTTGAACGGCAGGTCTTGGATTCTGACTGCAAGACTGCTGCTGGTCATGTTGAACTCCTTGTCAATGGCTTCCATCTCCTTTCTCAGGATATCAACCTGCTTGATGGTGAATGGTTCAAAAAGGTCCTCCAAGAGGTACACCTCATTGTCAAGCGGTTTCACCTGCAAGTGTCGTAAGATGATGTGCGCAAGATCCTGACAGAACTGGTAAGGATACACCTGTGCCAGTTTGGTTCTGCTTCCGAAGGTACCAGCGTTTCCCTCTAGGGGTTGGTGTTCATGCTTGACTGAGCTGGAAAAATTTTACACCTTCTGAAGATCGGTCTCATAACCTCGGAAGGTAAACAGTGCATCAAGCTCGTGGGCTTGAGACTTCTGAGCCCGGATTCAGGATCTTTTAGTCCGTATGCACAGAAATGGAAATCTCCCCAGGTCACGGATGGGTCTGAAAACAATTGTTGCATGCATTTCAGATACCATATCCTGGATGTCTGAGGATTTTCGATAATGAAGTATCTTCTGTGCTTCAACTGATAACGCGCAATGGATGCCACAAATTCAACCATGGGAAGGTAGCGTCTCCGCTTTTCCCCAACCTTTTGTTGGTCTTGCTGGATGTTCTGCATATTTGAGCATGGTCCACAGACCGGTGCCATAAGGATGACATCATGTGCTTGTTCCCTGATGATCTCCATGACCATGTGTCGTCCCTTGGATGTCATTACATCGAATCCTGTGCGGATGTCCACGGGAGTCCCAACCTTAAGACCTGATAGTGCACAGCATTGACTGAATCTGGCACTTCCTGCAAAGATCTCGAGAACGTGGATCTTTCCCTTACGTACACAATTCCAATGTGATTGTTCAGGAATGGATGTGAGGTCCTCGACGAACATATTCTCTGCTGGATGAGGTACTGCAGGTTTTGGGGTTGTTTTTCCCGCGATACGTAATGGCACTGAGGATCTTGGCTTAGGAGCTGGTGCGGATGATTCCTTTTTCTTGGTATCTACAGAAGAGCCTGGTTGCTCCTTCTGCAAGGATTCTCGCTCTTCAGGTAACAGAAGGTCAATTCCGGGTTTCCCCGGAGGGATGGTTTCATCCTTCCTGAGCTTCGTCATGTTAACCTTGATGAGTCGAGTCCCAAGATCGAGTCCTACCATCGCTCCTTCAATGGATATGACCTTCCCTTTTAGCCATATTCCTCCCTTGCTTCCATCGGAACGAATAATGGATTTGTCTTCCTGCCAGTAGAATTCCTTGTCCTTCACCTGAAGAGGCTTTGAACTCCTTCGGAAATTTTTGAGCACGGTCTCGTCGGATGTCCTCGGATTGACGTGCTTCTTGGAAAGCTTGCTTTGACAGCTGCTTGATCTGGATGGCTGTCAGCTCTTCTTCATTCCTGTCAATCGTCAACTGAGTTGGTGTTGCGACATCGAGTTGGATGAGATCTGCTGGTCGTCTTCCGAATGCGAGCTCCAATGGTGTTACCATAAGAATCGAGTAAGATAAATATTTATAGATTATATAAACTTCCGGCGTTTTATATAAATCTATAAATTTTATATATTATATAAAATTTATAGAATTATATAAAAATCGTGCTATATAATTATTGAAATTTCTTTATATAATTATTTAAATGATTTAAATAATTATATAAATAATTTAGATATTTACTTAAATTGTTTTGCCTAATTATATACATATTATAGAGAGACAGCCCTTGGAAATCAATCGCACGCGGGCGGATTTGTGCTTTCGGCGTTGTCTGCCGCAGCGGACTCATGGCTCTAAAAGCACGAAGGGAGCGCTTGGCGGCCGATCCCGGGCTGTCTGTGGCAGACTTAGAGAAGGCCATTGGCAACGCTTTGAGTCGCCTTGGAGCAGACTTGAACTACTTGGTGGTCGTGCCACTCAAGAACGTCAGCTGGACGTCGGCGCCATCGTCGACGTTGCCAGCATTGGCCGCGGCTCCGGACCTGTACGAGGAGCTCATGACGGTCGCGCCGAACACGGCTTTGCCTCCGCGCAAGTTGCAGGACGCGGTAAGCGCGTTGTTGGCTTCGGGCCAGATCTTGGCAGCTAAGGACAAGGTTTCCGAGCAGGAATATGCAGAACAGCTTGGCGATCGTCTGCGGATGGTTTTCGCCAAAGTTCGGTCTTGCGCTGGGGACCGAGCCACCGAGAAGCGCACCATGAGCAAGGCCACGGAGAAGCAGGCAGCAGTCTTGCGAGCTTTGCTCGCACGGTGCTCGTACAAGTCCCTGGGCCCGCAATTACCCGTGTCGACCTCTAGTCTGGCAACAGCTGCTTCTCGGGAATCCGACACCGCCGTGCTGGATCTAGACTTCGAGGCCTTAGCTGGGCAGTTCGAGGACTGCCTTTTTTGGCAGTAATGAAAGGTGGGAGCTTTGAGAGCTTTGAGAGACTTTGAGAGTTTTGAGAGTATTTGAGAGTTTGGAGTTTTTTTTTGCATTGTGAGAGTTTTGAGGGAGTAGGGAGAGATGTTGAGAGTTTTGAGAGCTCAAGTTTGAGAGACTTTGAGAGTTTTGAGAGTAATTGAGAGTTTGGCGTTTTTTTTTGCATTGTGAGAGTTTTGAGGGAGTAGGGAGAGATGTTGAGAGTTTTGAGAGCTTAAGTGCGGGGAGAGGTCTTAAGAGTGTTGAGAGGTCCGAGAGGCTTAGAGGATTTTGAGAGCAAAGGTTCTTGAGCGCTTCGAGAGACTTCGAGAGTTTTGAGGGTGTAGAGAGCCGAGTTTTGAGAGTTCTGAGCGCCGTGACGGCGACCTGATCTGGCCCAGCAAAGCACGCAGGACCTGAGCTCTGCTGCATCGGCCAAGCCGTCTCCGGCACGCACCAGCGAGAAGCGCCCTCCAGACCGCGTTGATGAAGATGCTATCCTTGCCGAGCTTGCCACTCAGTCCTCCGTCGAGATCCTCGACGTGAAGCCTCCCCCGAAGGTGTTGAAGCGGCCTGCAGCCGCACTGAAGAGACCGGCCAGCGCGCCCGCACCTCTTCAGCAGGCTGCTCCTACGACGGCGGAGGAAGAGATTCCGCGAGGCTGGCGGCCGTCGCAGTCTTTCGGGCTCATCAAGGTGACCGCGGCCACCGCAAAGGGCTACATTCAGGCCAAGGCCTCCGTGGACTCGAAGCCGTACCTGCTGTGCAATGTCGGTGTGCAGCGAGGCCCAGAGCAGACCCGCCTCTTGGCGGCGCTCTTCAGGAAGTCTGCCTCGGAGGAAATGCTCACAAAGGAGGCCGTGGTCACATTCAGAAACCAGCTGCAGGTCTAGGCAGCGCACGACCCCACGGAGAGCGACCCTGATTCGTGCTTATAAGACAAAAAACTTAAGATTGTCTCGCTTTTTTTTTTCGGAACTGCAGGTTTGTTTCTCTAGCTTGCGTGTGACATCAGGTTTGTTTCTCTAGCTTGCATGCCCAGCTGGCTCCTGCTGCCGCGATGTGTTTGGCTCAAAAGGGCTCACGCCAATGGCCGCACGCTGGTACGTCACCAACGTGCCGAGCGGGTGGACCGCGCGGGCGCTGGAGCTCGCGCTGCCGGTGAGCAGCTTGCATGTCAACCGGCAGCGCCAAGCCCACACTGGTCTGGTGTCGGTCGTGTGTGAGTGCTCGCTAGAGAACACGGCGCTTCTGCGCCAGCTGGTGGCAGCGTATGGCTGGTACATGTCCCCGGGCCAACCGCCCCGGGGAGCGGCTGCCCCGCCTGAGCCCGCGGTAGGGGCTGCGAAGGCCACAGGACCACCGCCGCCCGCGAAGGACATGCGCGCATGCGTTCTTTCCTCTCTCTTTTTTTCACGAGTGCGACGCCACAGGAGCGGGGACCCGGCCCAGACCAAGCCCGCGCCGGCGGCTGCTGCCAAGGGCCCACCCCCGCCGCTTGCAAAGGACACGCATGATGCGTGCACATTTTTCAAATTTTCTCGCTCCAGGACCGGCAGCCGGCCAAGGGCAAGCCCGGATCGGCCGCGCCGAAGACACCGCCGGCGGCTGCTGGGTCTGCCAAGGGCCCACCCCCGCTCGCAAAGGACACGCGTAGATGCGTGCATGTTTTTCCAAACGTGGCGCCCCGAGGACCGACAGCCGGCCAAGGGCAAGCCCGGATCGGCCGCGCCGAAGACACCGCCGAAGCAGGCGGCCAAGGACACGCGCATGTGCATATACGTATATTTGTTCCATGTGTCGCCACAGGACCGGAGACCGGCCCTGACCAAGCCCGCGCCGGCAGCCGCGCGGCCTGCCAAGTCACCCCCGGCGCTTGCAAAGGACACGCATAGATGCGTGCATGTTTTTTCCAAATGTGGCGCGCCAGGACAGGCAACCGGCCCGGAGCAAGCCCGCGCCGGTCACACCGAAGGCACTGCCGAAGCAGCCGGCCAAGGACATGTGCAGTTTGTTTGTTTGGCGGGGTTGCGTGTGGCGCCCCAGGACCGGCAGCCGGCACAGGGCAAGCCTGCGCCAGCGGTCACTGCCAAGGACCCTCCTCCGGCCAAGGACATATGCTTGTTTTGTGCGCTACATGTGGCGCCCCAGGACCGGCAGCCGGCCCAGCGCAAGGCCGCACCGAAGACGTGGCCGAATCAGCCGGCGCCACAACCACCAAAGCTGCCGCCACCGCCGGCGCCGCCGCCCCACTCAAGCGCTGACAAGAGTCGCCTGCCGGCAGCAAAGGCCGAGCCGGCGCAAGCGCCTGCAGCTGAGCTACCCCCGTGGGCGGTGATTCCGCCCGCGCAGGGAATCCGAGACGCCTCCACGACGAGCCAGCGGCTGTTTGGGAGGAGGAGAAGGGGCTGGGACGACCTGCGCTTCCATGAGAGGGTGGCCTGGATGAGAAGGCATCGACTGCCTCAAGGCTCCGTGGGCCAACTGCTGAGACCTGCGGACAGAGACAGGGCTCGGCGCGAAAAGGCGCCAGAGCGCGACCAGGCGCGGCCACATAGCGCATCTCTGTTCAAGTCACACCAGCCTAGTCGTCCTTGCAGGAGACGCGGAGACGCTCTTCTCCGCGGCGGTCAAGGTCCAGGTCTCCAAGGCGCCGCAGACGCCAACGCAGACGGGCCGCCTCCAGCGCAGCCTCAGCAGCACCTCCGCTGAAGCGGCGTCGCGGGGCTGCGCAGGCCGTGGTATACTGCTTCCCAGAGTTGTGAGTTGTGAGAGTTTCGAGGGTCTTGAGAGTTTCGATCTTTCGGTCCTTTCGGTGTTCTGAGAGTCTTGAGAGTTCCGAGAGTCTTGAGAGTCTTGAGAGTTTCGGGAGTTGAGTAGTCTTGAGAGTTTGTAGGAAGTTTCGATCCATCGTAAATCGTAAATGTTCGGAGAGTATATTGAGAGTTCTGAGAGTCTTGAGAGTCTTGAGAGCTTGCGCCGCCCGCCGTGAGAGTCTGGAGAGCTGTGAGAGTCTTGAGAGTTTGGGCAGCTTACCAGCTGCTAAGGGTTGTGAGAGTCTTGAGAGCTCTGAGAGTCTTGAGAGGGGCGAAGGGTTGTGAGAGTTCTAAAAAGTTGAGAGCTCTGAGAGTCTTGAGAGTTTGTAAAATGATCTGACAGTCTTGAGCGGTCGCTAAGAGTCGTGAGAGTTCTGAGAGTCTTGAGAGTTCTGAGAGACTGGAGAGTTTTGAGAGTTTGGAGAGTGTAACTGCTTTTGAGAGTCTTGAGAGTTCTGAGAGACTGGAGAGTTTTGAGAGTTTGGAGAGTGTAACTGTTTTGAGAGTCTTGAGAGTTCTGAGAGACTGGAGAGTTTTGAGAGTTTGGAGAGTGTAACTGGTTTGAGAGTCTTGAGAGTTCTGAGAGACTGGAGAGTTTTGAGAGTTTGGAGAGTGTAACTGTTTTGAGAGTCTTGAGAGTTCTGAGAGTGAGCGCTAGGGGTTTTGCCTGGGCCAGGCAGATCTCGAGGCCGCGCCTGCCAGCTCTTCGCCAGCCGCGCCTGCTGCGCCGAAGGCTAAAGCCAGCCCCAAGGAGAGCTCAGCGAGTTTGAAGGGCTGCAAGAGCCCTGATCTCCCAGGGCTTATAAGGGCTCTGCCTGCGCCAGGCAGAGACCACGGCGCCCGGCGATGCTGCGCCAGCTGCCGCTGGGGTCCTTCCGCGAAAGGAGACAAAGCTAGCCCAGGCTCGCAGCAAGGCGACCACCAACGCCTCACCGTGGCAAAGGCGGCAAGCTCTGCGGGAGGGCCGCAAAGGCGACGAGCCCTGAGGGAGAACGCGGTCCGGCGGTCTCACCCAAGCGACTTGCATGTGCTGTGCTGGAAAACAAGCCTCCTTTTAGCTTTTGGAAGTGCGCAACTTCAACCCAGAAGCCTTGAAGTTGTGATCTTTCCGCCCTCCAAAGTACAAAGGCTCAACCTTGAAGTTTTGACCTTTTCATTTCTCAAAGTACAAGACTTCAACCCTGCAGCCTTGAGGTTTCTACCTTTCCACCCTGCAAAGTTCAAAACTTCAGCCCTGCAGCCTTGAAGTTTTGACCTTTCTTCCTTCAAAGTACAAAACTTCAACCCACAACCTTGAAGTTTCTACCTTTCCACCCCCAAAGTTCAAAACTTCAGCCCCGTAGCCTTGAAGTTTTGATCTTTTCCTCCTTCGAAGTACAAAACTTCAACCCTGCAGCCTTGAAGTTTTGACTCTTTCCACCACCCAAAGTGCAAAACTTCAGCCCCGTAGCCTTGAAGTTTTGATCTTTCCCTCCTTCGAAGTACAAAACTTAAACCCCTGCAGCCTCGAAGTTTTGACTCTTTCCACCACCCAAAGTGCAAAACTCCAACCCCGCAGCCTTGAAGTTTTGATCTTTCCCTCCTTCGAAGTACAAAACTTAAACCCCTGCAGCCTCGAAGTTTTGACTCTTTCCACCACCCAAAGTGCAAAACTCCAACCCCGCAGCAGCCTTGCGTCCACAGGAGTTGAAAGCAGCCTCGGTTTGTCGCTGCGCTGACAGAAGCGCCCGCCGCAGCTGTCGTGCTTCAGGCCTTGCATCGCTTCAGCTGTGACAGCGCAGTTCCATGGCGGGCTCGAAGCAGCTGGCGTTGACTTTTCTTACCGCTGGCGAGCCGCCGGCAACGCAGCCGCGTTCCGATGAGGAGGACAGGGCCTCCCCGCTGATGTTCCGGGAGTTATGCGTGCTTTGTTCTGAGAGTTCTGAGAGTTCTGAGGGTTTGGAGAGCTTAGAGAGCTTTTGAGCCCTCTAAGCAAGGATCGCGCTTTCTGCTTGCGCTAGGCAGAGACCAGACCTTCGTGCCCTTTGCCAGCTGCGCTTGCCGGAACTGAGGCTAAGGAGTTCTAAAAGTCGTGCGATTCCTCACGTTTAAGTTTTTGCAGGTTTCGAGAGTTCTGAGAGTTAAGAGAGCTTAGAGAGCTTTGAGAGTTCTGCGAGTAAGCGATCTCGCGCAGTCGAGAAAATTAACTTTGAGAGTCTTGAGAGTTCTGCGAGTAAGCGATCTTGCACATTTGAGAAAGTTAATTTTGAGAGTCTTGAGTTTGGAGAGCTTTTGAGCGGTTAGAGTTCTGAGAGTTTCCACACTTTTTGCGTGCGCTAGGCAGAGGCCGCGCTTGCCAGCTCTGCGCTAGCAGAGCCCTCCGCGCCTAAGGCTAAAGCCACCCCCAAGGCTAAGACCAAGGCAAAAGCCAAACAGGCCGCCAAAGCCAAGCCTGCCGCCAAAGCCAAGCTGGCTGCCAAAGCAAAAGCCAAGCAGGCCGCCAAAGCTAAGGCTAAGGGACAGCCCGCGGAGGCGGCTCCAGAGCCTAAGCGGAAGAAGTCCGCACCTTCCGCTCCGCAGCCTGCTGAGGACTTGACGGACGCCAAGGAGCCTGGCCCGGCCATTAAGATCGAGCCCCCCAGCCCTTCAGTAGCACGTCCCAAAGCCAAAGGCAAGCCGTCCAAGAATGCCCAGACCCAGCTGGAGAACTTGGAGACCATGCTTGCAGCTGACGCCAAGCAGGCGGAGCCCACGGACAGCAAGCAGCCGTCCTCCGAGCCCGAGAAACGCAACAAAGCGGCGGCCATGGCCTTCCGCAGCCTTTTCCCGAGTCTGCCTGCTGCGGTTCAGGAACAGTGGGCGCGCAAGCAAGAGGAGGGGCGTTCCGCTGCGACCAAGTGGCTCAACTCCGCTATGACCAAGAGCCCCAAGTCCGGCAAGTGGCGCGTGCGCTGTGACGAGAGCACACTGTCCACGCAGCACACTTCCACTCGCACAAGTAGGGAAGGTGCGGAGGCTCGAGGCTACCCTCGCTTTCGGGCTGTGGTCCTTGCTGGCGGCGAAGACGCTTTCAAAGCAGCTCTCCACGCAGGCGAGAT